AGTAGTACTAGTATTAGTTATTAATAAGTAAATAAACTACGTACTAGTACTAGTACGTAACGTAACGTAAACTAAATTAAACTAAACTAACGTACTACGTAGACTTGAATTTTTTTTATGAAAGTGCGGCTCTCTCACCCTATGCAAACCCCACCCTGTGATCCAACAACCCACACTGTGAAATCTTAGAAACCCCAAATCTACTCTCTTCCTCTACTTCAACTTGAAATCTATTCTCTCTTTCTCTCTCTTTGAACTACTGCTAGTGAGAGAGCTCCGCTTTCTCTCTCTAGAACCAGTGTCTCAATAGCTCCTCTTTCTCTCTCTAGAACCAGTGTCTCAATAGCTCCTCTTTCGCTCTCTAGAACCAGTGTCTCAATAGCTCCTCTTTCTCTCTCTAGAACCAGTGTCTTGAGAGCTCCTCTTTCTCTCTCTATAATGGCGTAAAAAATATTGCATTCTGACCTGCCATATGAATGGGAGAAACAAGCCAGGGTTCCCAGGTATCTTGTGTCTCGATGTCTTAGGGGGTTTCTAGGGCAGAGTCTTGAGAAGAACCGAAGCCTGATGGCCTCACAAATTTACAATCAAAGCATTGTAAAAAGATTGTTTTGAGCTTCGATGAAGCTATCCATGGCTGGCATTTTGCTCTTTCCCGTTCTGGCATTTTTGTCGTGGCTTACATTATCGAATTTCTTTGCCAGAGAGTTGCCGCATCAGAGCTCTCTCTACATGGCAGATCTTTGACAGAAAGATTTTAGAGTTTCAAATCTCTTATTAAAGTTCTAATGGCATACCGCATTGGACAAATTTCTAGGTGTTCAGTTTTCTAGAATTTCAAAGCTCTCTTCAACTCCAATGGACCATAGTTAAAAGAGTTTCTGGGGGTTTAAGTTTCCACGTTTACAGTTGTAGTGAGCATTGTGGCTTGAACTGAGAGTAGCTAAAATGTTGACTCTTCCATCTATGGAAACCGCAATAAAACCAGTCTTTCTCCAGAAAACCCAATTTTGTTCACCATTTTCTTCGATGTCTTCCTTTTCTCTCCCTGCAACTTTCAGAGTAAACACATGGCTTCTACTTGTAAATCCCCTTCTTGTTGAGGGAGAAAATCACAAAGAGAAAATGGACTTTAACACCCAAACAGTTTTATAAGAAAAGAAAAAAGGCTTGGTATTTTTTGCAATTGATATATTCAAAAATGTAATTTTATTGGATAACAATTTCTTTTTATTTGACATCCAAACTGGCCCTTGGTAATAAATCTTAAACAAACTCTCATGCTAATCCTAATAACTAAGAAAGTGACCTTCCTACCCCCACAACAATAAACTAAAACCTAATTTAATCCCTACAATACAAATTCCAAAATTTAACCTGAAGAAAACAAATAAATAATTCCAATCACACCCCCCTGCCAACCGAAGGAAAAGAAAAGAATTTCTTCATTAAAAAATAATAGATAAAAATTTTAATCAGCCTAATTCTTGAACATCTCAAATGCAATTTGCATCAAAATGATTGTTGTTTGTGCTTAGCCTTTGGGATTACCATTTATATTATAGAGCTATGCATGCCCTGAATTTGGATATCACATTATTTTTGGTGAATTTCAGGTCAAATTATCTCATTTTACTTTCTTTTTTTTGTTAATTTTGGTTCTTATGCCAATGTATCTCAATCCTATATTCTAATATGGGAGTGTATGCTATTAGATTGTTTATCTTTGGTACAAGAAGGTCACAATCACTCGTAGCCATGAATATAAAATGAAGTTATAGGAGTGTATCACAAGGTACAAAAGAATTTTCTTGGACTTTGATCACATCCGTGATAGTCTCTGATTTTACATTGCGCTAATGGTGAATGTGGTCTTCTTGTACCAAAGGTAAAGTCTTATTATATGCTTTCCCTATTTCAATGTTGTTTATTTAGATCATGAAGCATTTTCTTCTCATAAGCCACTGACCTTACTTTGTCTACATGGGGGTGTTGGCTGAACTCATTCATATCCTTCTTGTAGGCATGCAAATGTGAAAGAAGCTGAGTTTGACTTTGCCAAATTCCACTCAGGAGTGAAACGTGGGGACATTGTTGGTATCATTGGGTTTCCAGGTTGATGATCTATGTTCCATATTGGTCTTTTTTATTAAATTTTCGTCTCTCCTGCAAAACATTTAGAAAATGACCCATATGTGTGTAATATCTTCTTCCTGCAAGTGTTTGATGGTCCCCTTTTGTCACTGTAGAATAAGAGTTCTGTGGCCATGCGATATAAATACCTGGAGTTACATGAATTGTTATCAAGTTTTTCCATCAACTGGTGCCTTTGGATCTTTTTCTTTCCTTTTGACTGGGTTTCCCTAGTTCTCAAGCTGTATTTTTATTTATTTATCTATTTTTTTTGTGATAAGTAACTCTCTCTCCATGTTTGGCCTCTGGTTTTTTCCAAATGGCTCAGCCATAATTTGGTTCAGATTGCATTACTTATTAGGCCAAATTGCATTAGTGAGTCCTTAATTTGAATTTTTTTTATCACAACTGAAATTGGTTGAGAGTTTGACCTTTCTTCTTAGGGTTGGGATGAGTAAAAAGAAAAATTGGTACTTTCTTCTGAGGGTTTAGATAATTTTTCATCAGCTTCATGTTTTCTGTCCTACATTTATTTTCCACCATTATACACTTCCTTAAGAATCACATTCCAGCTATCCTTTTGTTTCCCTGTGCGTATGCTCAGTTATGTGCATGAGGGAGGGCTGGTAGGCTGCTATATTGTTATCATCTTATGTGCTTAAAGCTTTTTTAGACCTTGTCAAGTTTGTTCAGAGACTTTTTCCATTCTCAGACAGGTTGCTAATAGATGTTTTAGGTGTGGAATTATATTGACCAAATGCCTTGGTCATATGATCTGACTGTTATGGGTTCCGTGAGTGTTTTCATATTAAGAACAACATTGTTCATTTGTTTGCGGGTTGCCTATAAGTGCCCCAGCCACTATTCACTTCTATCAGAATTTAATCAACTCTGTACGATATTAAAATTGTTTTTAAAAGCTTCTGACTATTAGTGCTTTTAAGATAGCTTTTAAGATAAGACTTTCGCTGCAATATTTGAGGTGCATTTCTTGTTTTCTAATTCATGTTACCAATAAATAGAATTAAGAAAGCACTGGTCTATTCTGTTCCTCTTTATGTTACTCTTTTGCTCTGTATATTCAATTTAGAACAGCCAATAAATAAAAAAAAAAAGAGAAGAGAAAATAATCTTAGTTGAGTATGTGGGTATGTTGCAAAGCTGTGTCTTCTTTGTCCTACAGGTAAAAGTCAACGAGGTGAGCTCAGTATATTTCCGAGATCTTTCGAGGTTCTCTCTTCGTGTCTCCATATGATGCCAAGGCAAAAGGCTGGTCCTGCCAAAGATAATACTCATCCAATGGTAGGCCATGTCTAGCATGTTTTCAACCTGGTGCTGACTCATGGTATATGAACTTGAATATCGATGATTATTTTGTTGAAATTTGAATTCTCTTTATTTTATCACAGAAGAATGAAGAGAAGACTTCAGCTGGCGTATGGATTCCGGGGAAAGCCAGGAATCCTGAAATATATATTCTGAAAGATCAGGTAGTTTAGGTTACTTGATCCTGGGAATGCACATCTTTTTAATGCAACAAGTTGAGCCTTTATGACACTGCAGATTTGAAATTTTTTGTTTCTTACATACATTCAGCTATTATTGTGATATTCCAGTTTTGTAGATGGTTGATTACTTGATCCTAACTTTGTATCTTGCTTTTTGTGCTAGAAAACATGGTTTGGATAAAGTTTAGGCCTGATCTGTGGATAAATCTTGTTCCTTCTGAGAAGCTAGATTTATTCAGTTCAAAAATTAGAGTGGAACGTATTAGATTAGAATGGGTCTGTTTGCTTGAGTATGGATCAATATGGCCATACAATTGTGAAGCAAAAGAAATGTATGTGGCATTTAAGGCTACGGTCTTGTTTTTCTAATAACAGTCTTGTTTTTTAATCACTAATTTCATTCTTTCCTTGCTTGGAAGTTTTTTGGTTTGCTGAATCCTGATCATGTGAGTTGATGTTAAACTTAGAAAGGCATAAAAAAAGACGATATCTTCTCAGACTTTCTCATATTTAAAATGACTGCTCTTCATTTTATATCAAAGGGCATTCTGAAGTTTGTCGTTTATTCTGATACCTAGCCATCTCTTTGATTGGCACTATTAGATTGGTAACTTCCTTGTAGAAATTGATTCTGCAACTATGCTTTTGCTATGTTTTAGTAGTAGTCCCTGGGTTTGGACCAATATTGGAGAAATATGTTCATTGAACTGGCTAATAAATTTGTCCTTGGAGCTTCTTCAAACTTGGTCTATGTTTTGACTGGAGCTGCTGTTTGACATTAAATGTTTTTGGGTCATAGGAAACTCGATATCGGCAACGGTACTTGGATCTTATGTTGAATACAGAGGTTAGACATATATTCAAGACACGGTCAAAGATTATTTCCTATGTTCGAGACTTCCTTGACAAACGTGACTTTCTGGAGGTAGGGGCTTGTGTTAAGTATGTATATGATTTTATTCTTACATCTTTATGTGCTCGGATGTTATTTACCAAATTTTCTTTTCTTTTTCTCATGCTAGCTTTGTTGTCTTTCTGCACTATAAATTACCAGGTGGAAACCCCCATGATGAACATGATTGCTGGTGGGGCTACTGCTAAGCCATTTGTAACTTATCATAATGATTTGAACATGAAGTTATATATGAGAATTGCTCCTGAGTTGTATCTAAAACAGTTAGTTGTTGGTGGGCTTGATCGTGTCTATGAGATTGGGAAACAATTTAGGAACGAGGGCATTGATTTAACTCATAATCCAGAATTCACTACTTGTGAGTTTTATATGGCTTTTGCTGATTACAATGATCTTATGGACCTCACCGAGCAAATGTTATCAGGTTAGTTTCTGATATGGCTTTACCACTTGCTGCCTGGTAGTTTGGGTCTGTTTTACTTGTGTGCTTATGCTATGTTTCCATTTTCCATCCACAAAGATTCTGGAATATGTTGCATCGAGCAAATATTATCTTCTTCACAGGCGCACCCTAACACGTGCATCTGTATGTATGTGTTTGAGACAGATTTTACCTTTTTGTGTGCTTTTATGACAGGTATGGTCAGAGAGCTGACAGGTGGCTACAAAATTCAGTACCATGCAAATGGTGTTGAGCATGAGCCTATAGAGATTGATTTCACTCCTCCTTTCAGGTGGATGCTGTGTAGTTTACTTCGAAGCACTTTCTGCGGTGGCCTCTTTTTTGGGGTAACTGAGAATGCTGTTGATATTGCAGGAGGTTTGATATGATAGAAGAGTTGGAAAAGTTGGCCAACCTGGAGATTCCAAAGGACCTTGCCAGTGAAGAGGCAAATAGGTATTTGTTGGAAGCATGTATAAAGCATGATGTCAAATGTCCTCCTCCACAAACAACAGCTCGATTGCTGGACAAGGTTGTCTATTATCCCTCTTTCACTATTTTCATTTCTAAATCATAAGAAGCCTTTCCAGACTCCTAAATTTTGGGTTTATATTTACTTATTGCCTTTATCAATTTCAAAATGGCTCATTGTGTGTTAAAATTCTGCATGTTTTACTTATTGCTTTATATATTACAAGTCCGAATTAGGGTTATCATAACAGTTGAACCATATCTGATGGGCTTCTTGGGGATGTTGGGAAAGGAAGTAGACATAAAGCCATGAGCATCTCTCTCAAATGAGTCAGAGTGATTTCATGTTTGGGTTGGCATGTTATGTTTCAAACTCCGGGAGTATGAAGCTAGTCTTGTATCAGCACAACATTAGCATGTGTTCAAATTAAAATATAATTAAATATGTCATGAGGTGCAAAAAACTGCATAATAGCTTGGGATGCATGGGATGCATAGGGTATATGTGATACTCCTAAAAGATGTCTATTTATTATGCCAAGTGCAACTGTGGGGGATGCTTAAATTATATATTTTGACAATTGCTCACTTGGAAGCCATCTGTTGGGAGTGGGGAATGCCATTATAAATAATGAGGCCTTAATTTTATGCAATCGATTGGATTTTGTAAAAAATTTCCTTGATATAGTAGTTGGTAATTGTACTGCCTTCCTCATGCTTTGTTCTGAATTATTTTTCCTTTTTTATAGAGATTTGTGGAGCATTTTATGCAGATAACTTGATGGAAATGCTAACTACATCGCTACAATGTTGACAAGTTATATGATTTGTGCATAAACTTACATTCCCTTCGATTGTCTTGTCTCTATATCAGCTTGTTGGGCATTTCGTGGAGGAAAAATGTGTCAACCCAACATTCATTATCAATCATCCAGAGATAATGAGCCCATTGGCTAAGTGGCACAGATCAAAAATAGGCTTGACAGAGCGTTTTGAATTGTTCGTTAACAAGCATGAGGTGTGGTGCTTATATCTTGGTCTTACCCACCATGTTTCAAAGATGGTGAGGTATGCCATAATCCAATGGACTATGGTTTTCCAAGGCTATATCCACTATAGTTCCCATTGATGAATGGTTTGAGATTGACTATGCTGGGTCTCTGTCAATTTCTAAAAATCCATCTTTGGTAATGGGTGGTAGAGTGTTGCCTTGAAGTGATATACCTGTTGGATTATGATATACCTTTTCTCAATATGTTTTTGTATCCCAATTTTCTCCTAAGCTGATGTTTTTAAAGGGGATAAATTGGTCAGGTGTGCAATGCCTATACCGAATTGAATGATCCTGTGGTACAAAGAGAGCGTTTTTCTGCTCAGCTTAAGGTACCGATGGTTATTTTCTTTATCACGTAATAGCTTCTTTTCTATGGGCTGAAGGGTACTTAAAGTTTATGAGATTCTTGAATGCCATTATTTGGGAGCTAGGAATGACAATCTATACTACTACATCAGGATCGACAATCAGGTGATGACGAAGCTATGGCTTTGGATGAAACATTTTGTACTGCTTTGGAATATGGGTTGCCCCCAACTGCAGGATGGGGAATGGGGATGGATCGTCTTGCCATGTTACTCACAGATTCTCAGAATATAAAGGTGATTTGGCTGTTATATGTCTCATATGTGTGCACGTGTGTGTATGCACGCGTGAGAGAGAGAGATCTTGTAATGAAATGGACAGGGACTCATCTGCTTTTCTATTGTGAAACAGGAAGTTCTACTCTTCCCAGCCATGAAGCCTCAGGAAGACATATCCACTAAAGGTATGTACTTTGTCCTTGGTTGATAATGTAAAGTGTGCAGGAAAGTGACACTAAATATAAGTGTAGTATTAAAGCCACTAAGCATGAATCATCAATCATATGAACTAATGGGATAGGCACCTTGACTGGAGCAAAATTCAACTTAGATTTGTAATTGATTCCCATTAACAGCTCTAGAAATTCCATTCACCCTCTATCAACCTAAAAATTGGATGGATTATTTCTTTGGCACAAGTTCTCCAAACGCTCTCCTGAATCCGGTGAACAAGTTTGTGAAAAAAAGTAAATGAAAAGGCCCTATCATGTTTTTTTTGTGGTGAGAAATTTCAGAGAATAGGCCGGTCTATTCATTGTGTTAGATACAGATCTTATGGGGATTTGTCCAACCCCGAATTTTGTCGATTGCCACATCATCATGAGAAAATAATTAAAAATAAAAACAAAAACCTAAGTTATCTAAGATCTAGATTTGATTATCCTAAGAATGGATAATATGTTTTCAATATTGGGGTTGGTTGTCTTTGAGCTTGGGTTCTAGGATGAGTAGGGTTATCCCCAAAATTCCTCCGGCTAAGGTTTTGAACTATTGCATGATGCTATAGGGGTGCCCTTTGGCGGACCAAATCCTTTTCCATTGTACTTGTCTGCATAAATAGACACATTTCATAGAATAGGCTAATACCTTGGCGTAGGTATGTAAATATTTTACATTAACTTTCACAAATTTTGGTTCAACCTACATGCATATGCAGGCATCAGAAGAATAGGTTTGTGGTTTTTTATTTCTATGTGATATTTAAATTACTTGCAAAATCAGATGGGGAAGGGTCATGAGGTTGATCCATTTCGTTGTTGTGCTTTTGCAGCATGATGTTATTGCATATATTTGAAGCGGGGATTATATCTGGAGCCTTCTTGTGACGTGGAAGAAGGCCAACAATGGACTTAGTTGTTCTGTAACACCACTAGAAGAGATGGGGGATTTTGCTACCTCCATTCACTCATCTGATCATTGCTTTTTTCTTCTCTGGCTTCCATTTCTGTACTGCGTTTTGAGTGTTATTGAATGGCCTTGGCTGGTTTTCATGAGACAACTATATATATTTGTGGGGTACTTATGTCCCACTTGGGTTATAATTCTTGTGAGGCAAAGGAGTTTGAAATATGAATGCATAGATTACTCTAAGACAGGTCCAGTAATTACATTTCTGTTTTGTTGGCAATTGACACACGGCTTCATATCCAGCCCAAACAGAGCCGGAAATTGGCCTATTGGCCCAGGCAGGCCATGGACTAGGGCTGTGACAGGGCTGGCCCAGTTTGGTCCTGCTTTTTTCTTTTTTGTAAGCCCTGTTTGGTACCTAAGAAATCTATTTTCCTGGAGAATCTCATGGAAATTGGGCGCCTATGAAAAAGGTGAAAGTAGAGAGTTGGTGGCTAGATGTTGAGAGCCCTTGTTTGGTAACCTGTCAATGACACTGAGGAAATTTGTTGCTGGTAATTTCCTTGTTTGCTAATTTAACTCTTAATTACAAGACTCATTGAAGAGAGGTTGCAATTTATCATCTGATTCATATTTTTAGTTATAAACCATCTTATGTCATTATTTACAAAATGGATGGTAAAGATCTGAAGTAGTTAAATTTCTCCCCTCCCCATCCATCTCCCTTTCATTTTGATGGTGCATTAATTTTGATCGCTCTTTTGGTTACATGATAAGTGACTAAAATACCATCATAAACATAAGCAAATGACATAGGAAAAAAGTTTATATGAGGATGAGGCCTAAACCATCAAACTAATGCGCATCTAAAACTTATTAGAAGAGGTTACTTAGATCCTAAAAAATCATCTATTCGATCATCTTGACCGCAAAATATATAGGCATGAAAAAAAAATAGATTGCAAGTTGTAATGTATTATCTATCTAGATTGTTAATTTTCAGAAATTCAGTCCCCAAGCCCAAGCGTTTCCCTTCTGCAATTACTTTTAGAAAGTCATTCATCCTTCTCTTAAGCGTCTGTGGGATCCTTTGGGAGTCATAGAAAAGGAAATTTTCCTTGAATTAAAGAGAGTTTTTTTCTCAAGTAGTTTTACTTGATTTCTTAATGTGATATAGTTTGTTTCATAGTTATGAAAACAGGACCGAACCTAGTTCGATCGGTTGGTTTACTCTGTAGTGCTTTTGCAGGTTCAAATCGAAGAAAAAAAAATAAGTTTGGTAAAAAATCATCAAAACCAATGTTTGATTTGTTTTTGTTAATCAAGCCGACCAGTTTTTACTTGCTAGATAAGTTATATGAAATTATTTTTAAAATATATTTTATATTTTAATATACATTTTTGACAATTTAATCCAACCAGATTAATTGACATCAAATTGGTTTTGATTGAATCAAACCCCACTGTATGTTGAATCGATTTTGACTAAATCTAACCACTTATTCATTATCTTAATAACATTGGATTTTTAATGTGAATATGAGTTTAGAAGTAGATTTGATTTATGAATATTTACAGAAAAATCGTATTTTAGTTTTGAAATTTAGAAATAGTCTAATCTATTTCATATTTTACATTCAAGTCCCACTTTTTTAGGGCATAAAATATTTTTTAATTTTATCTATACATCAAATTAACCTAAACTTTGGTAGGTCCATACCACTCGCTTATAAAAAAACATTAACATATAACTCCAAAATAAATAAAACTATCAAAATACCTCTAAATATTGTAAGGGTATTTTGGTTATTTATTATTTCTAAAGTATTTTTAGGTATTTTAATTTTTTATAGGTATGTGATGGTGATAAGTATGAGCATATAATAAATATGAGTTTAATCCATTGCATATACATCAAGATAATTCGAATACATTATATGCTTCTAGAATATGTGACCAGAGTGTAAAATATGAAATATATAGGACTTTGAAAATCCTAAAAAAATTTCCCCCCTTTATTTATAAAAGTAAAATTGCCTCATACCAACTAGACTGCATGACTACATATGTGGTCCAAAAGTGTAAAGCATCCATCTTAAAGATGGATGCGAGTAAGTGTCTCATCTAAAAACAATGCAAATTAACAATCTAAATGTTTTTTTACTGGGATTATTATTTTTAATTTTTAAAATTTATTAATTTATTCATATTCATGATCTCCATGATAGACTCAAAAAATCCATCTCAAAAATAGATTTATTAAGAGGCCTACATTTCTACATATGCGAACTTGGCCGCCGAGAAACCGGGTCCTTTATAAAAAGTTACGAAAAATGAGCTCCATCTTTTCCTTTTGGACCCATGTTTTTTCTTTCTCCCGGGCATTTTGTACTTAAAAGCTTATTTTACTACGTAAGAATCTTGTGATTTTTTTTGGTATTGGTTGCAGGACCTAGGTTGAGTTTTGTTTTTTTTTTTAGAAAAGTGACGCTTTTGTTTAGTACCGGTTTTGAGTGAAGGAGATCAAGGGTTCAACCCTTTGGAGGTTTTCCAGAAATTCACGTGGGCTAGCGTTGTTGCCCTCAGTAAACCTCCACCGTCCAGGTGCAGATTGCAGCGTGTGCATGCAACCTCCACTCTCCAACCAAATCAGACGGTTGAGGTTTATGCTGACTAGCGGGCTAGCCCACATAAAAACCGTGTTCATTCCCAAAAGCCGAACAAAGACAACCTGGCATTGTTCTATGGAGAAATTCAATAAAATTGGAAGAAAACAAGTTAAACTAGCCTTTATTTTATTTTATTTTATTTTTTATGAATAACATAGCATTTTTTTGGAGACACTTGATAATATCCTGTTACACCTGATTAAAGCAGAATTGGCCGGTTTTGGTTTCTGCCGGTTTTGGTTAACCGGCAGGGTATTTTACAAAAAATAAAAAGCATTTATATAAAATCCAAAAAAACAAGAGATTTTGATTGTTATATATTTTTTAATGTTTTCATCATTTTGGCAAAGATTGGAAATGGTTTTGAACATTAATGCTTTCTTTTACATTTTCCTATCTTTTAAAAAAAATTAAACAATACCTTACAAACAAATCGATTCTTTAAATTCCATTTTTTTCATTAATTTTTAACTTCATTTGGACATGTTTTGCTTAATCATGCTTTAAATATACTTTTTATATTTTATTAGAATCTGTTTTTGAATTTTTTTTAGGTTGATTGAACCAGCCGATTTACTAGTTAAGTTGGTTGAACAGCTTCTAACCCCATGTCCGATTAACCATTGCAGTTTGATTTTTCTTACATTGGCCCATAAGCATAAAAGAAAGAAAAGTATAGCGTAATGTCAAAGATAACAGTTATTGAGTAGAAGGCAAACCATATAATCTTTTACAATATAGAGAATTTAAAATATATACAGTATGACAACAATTATATTTCCTAGATTTGTCATTCCTGAAAAAATGTGGAATCCTGAAGTTAATCCATGTCCATTTCATTGCAAATTTACTAAATTTGCAACTACCATAGGGAATTTCACCCACTAAAGCACAAATTGTTTGGACAAATGACATATGGAGTACCAAATCCAAAATTTTCACACCAAAAGAGGTCGAAAAACTATGAATGACACGAAGTTCGAGGTGTACTCAACCACTCATTTTTTCAATTACACGTTTTTGAATCTGCCACCCAAAACATCAGCAGCAAATGCACCCCTTTCAGGACCACCAAGAGTGGAAGATTCGTCGAAACTGCCCCCGAACTTTCATAAATTACCAAAGGACTTCTTAGATATCAACTATTTTATATTATGCACAAACTTGTTTCTGGTATCACAACATCAACTAACCAACCTTTTGCAATTTTCTACCCTATATTTCAAATTTAAGCAGAAAACGAAAAATTGCAAACAGAATTTCATATTAACAAAATTGCGACTAACCTGGTCCTTTTTGGTCAAGGAGAAAAAAATAAAGCCTTTTAACAGTAATAGAAATGGATCAAAAGTTCAAGTTAGTTGGTCAAATTTCTACTACTACAGATGCATTCAGGAAATGGATTCTCATAGAATGACTCCTCTGTTCGGAACCGGCCTCGGCCTTTGACTCCAGGGAGTGCTCCTAGTCTTTTCCTTGGAGCACCTTGCCTATAAGAATCAGAGCACATATATAACTTGTTTCTAGCACTTGGAAATAAGACTAAAGTTAAAATGGAGAACATCAAATATGAAAATACTTTCCATCCAATTGTTCATCAAATTATCGTTTGTGTTAGGCAAAGGATATTCACAGTCCACTGAATAGAGAGATACAAGAGTCATCACTGTCCTATGAAATCAACAGTGAAGTGAGAGAAATAAGAGAGGGATCCAGAACTGCAATCATGTCATTGTTCTGACGGGTCCCATACTCTCTCCATCACCATGGGATGAAAATTAATGCTGATGGAGCAAGAGGGTGGATCCCATTCTCTCCTTATTGTTGTCCACTTCAGTCAACACTGACAAACCAATTGACCTTGGCTTTACCGTGCGCAATCAAGGAATGCTATGTAATATCCTACCTGATCTAAACAAAACCATACCTGAACTTATGCATCTCAGTTATGCGTGATGATAACTTCTGCCCCTCCTTCAACTTTCCTCTTTCCATCTTATCAAAGACTTCGACGAGTCCTTTCCTACAAAGAAAAGGGGGAACAAGAATCTGTTGACTAAGCCAAAAGAAGAAGCACAAGAAATTGACTATATTGACTCTGAAGAAATAAGACAATGTTTTTTTGGCTATGTAGACCGCCAGCCATTTTTTTACTGTGAAGAAGAAAGACAAGCCATTTCTTATCTGAAATTATTTCCAGTTTTTAACCTAATTATTTTCAGTCTTATATAAAATCAAAGCATCCATACAGAAACCAGAACTACCATTCTTATTTTCACGGCAATTCATTAACCACAGAACATACATGGATACAACAGGGACTGTCAACCAGGATACCACAGATAGGTTTGTTTTAAATTAAATGGAAAGGGGAAAGAGCTTTTCCGGGGGCATGAGTCTCATCGAGCTTAACCTTGGAACGATATCACAAAGTCAGAAAATATACTACAGTACTGTGGTCCATGAAGAAAAAATGAAATAATTGATGCGGATGTGATAAGGTGAGACCCACTATTGAATGTTCTGGTGTCCCACCACCATTCATAATTGCATCGGGCGGTGATAACACCAATAAAGATGGACATTCCATAATCCACAGGATTATAGCAATGCTTTCCCTATGCCAAACCAAACAAATGCATATACCTGTCTGGACTGAAGGTCTTGCGGTGGCCCAAGAATCTACGATGCCCCTCCAGAGCTCTCGCCATGTTTCCAGAGTAAGAAGGAACAAAAACATCGCTCTCAACTGATATGATGTAGTCTAGAGCTGCCGTCTGAGATGCATGTTTAGCAAATGGCTCCAATTCCTCAGAAGTAGCCACCGTCTCCTGTCATCAAGTAGTCTTTGTCATGAATCAAATTGAACAAGCGAAAGTATAACAATATCCAATGGACTATGGAAAAGCAAAACCATAATCTATTGTGTCATCACTTCCAATCGAGTGTGTATGAGAGAGAGAGATAGAGAGAGTGATTTAAAAATAATTATGAATCACCAAAAATATGTACATTTTTCATGACAGTTTCTTTCCCGGATAAGAAAAGGAACAGCTAAAGTCAAGTTTCCATGACTGATGAATTTCCTGTTAATAATTGCACAACTTCAATCACTGTTAAGAATGATTTCTAGTTGAAAGTTCGATTGAGAACTTGAAACTTCTTTTTGTACCGTGGCCAAATCCGTTCTGAAATGTGAAATTTCAACCAAGGATGAAAAAAAACCATTGTCAGTATTACTTCATGGGTATATGCAAAGTTGCAAACGGACCTTGAAAACCAAATTTGGGAAGTAGGATCTGAGCTCTGAGAGGTGAGCATCACCTCCATATATTTCACCAGCCGCAATATAGATCCATGTAGAAGGAGGGTGTCCTAATGCTTTCAGAAAGATCCCCATCTCTTTGGGAGTAAGCGGGCAATAACCTCCAATCCGTTGTTCTGTTGCATTAATCTTCTTAGTCTTCCAGTGGTTAGTGTTTTCTCTGCCAGCACACATGAAAAATAGTTGGTGTTTCTCTACAAACACAAAGGATAAAAAGAAACATTTAACTTTTAGCAACTGCTATCCACAAGGTTAAGTATGCAATAAGATTAGAAAAATATTTCCATTTGGGCGATGGAATGACAGGCACTGATGGAGAGAGACTGAGAGATGTTCCCACTCTCTGACCATCACCCCATTGGAGTACTGCTTTCCGTAGTCTATTGAATTACAGTGTATTTTCCCAATTCAATAATGTCAACACAGGCATCATTTCACCTCATTATCTTTAACTCTTCAGCCTCTTCATCACTCAGGCCATATGTGCACCCAGTGAAGGACAACATATCCTTTTCATATCGGAGGTGAAGAGAAATATATCGCCCATGTGACTTCAACCGTCCCACCAGCTTCTGTTGTGTCACGGTCATGTATTCTCAGAACCTAATTTACAGGATACCCCATCGGAGATCTCTTAAATGCATTGAAAACCATTTGAAGTCATGTGTTATTCCTGATGGCAGTATATGAAAATTGAGAGATGGTGGTGGATGAGGAAAATTCAGACCTTTCCGAGCTGCTCGATTGGAGGGGAAAAACGAAGAGCATAATAGAATGCACGGCACCGTAGCCTCTGAATATCAATAGGAAGGTCATTGTTTGAAAGTCGAGAATCAGATTTGGGAACATGAATTACCTATTGACAAATCAGAATCTGCAAATAATTAAAATGGGAAAACAATAATGATAAATTTTTTGAAGGCCAAGTTCACAGCAAAACAAACCATGCAGTGGCTTTAAATGCTTCATCTTTCCATTCATATTTTCAAATTACAGAAGCCCATGCAGTTAGGTTAACATTTTTAGTAGAAAAATGTGTGATGATGCAAATACAAAAGGGCAAATGATCTTGATGATGGAAGTCATAAAAATACAACATGTCCAAAAAGTAAAATGCAGAAAGGAGCGTAAAACACAGAATCTGCATAAATACAAACACAAAGTGAACAACTTACATGGTTCAAATATCAGCACAAAACTAGTAACAATGATAATGTAACAAAAAAAAAAAGCTCCAAACATCCAATCTCTCCTAGTCAGTCATTTCAAAGAAATCCACTATCCAAGCTCCCTCATTAATGCTAAACATTACAGTATCGGTAACTTGACCACATAAACTTCCTTTCCGAACCAGAGGTTTCCCCAAAAAGCTATTATTCTGCATATTAGAGACGTCCAAGACATGAAATGACTCGACAGTAGGACCCAGTCAAGTCGACTCACAAACAAACCACGTGGACTGCTAAATCATGCAAACTTTGATTGCACTATAGAAGAAATTATCTCACAGTCTGTGATGGTACTTGAATTTAAAAAAACAGAACCAAGATGCTCCTGATTCCTATTATCTCAATGAACGTCTCTCAATTGCTTCTCTAAACTATCTTTAGTAGTGCACATGAGAAACTTTCCAGGGGATAGAGCACTATTTCACTAAGCATTTCTCAATTAGGGGATGCAGGACTTTCTAAATTGACAAGATTGTGACTCAAACAATATAATTTAAAAAAGTCAAAGTAGCAAATGCTGCAAATATATTTACTAGCTACCTGGATCATCTCAAGCACCGAAATAGAGCACACTAACCTGGTAATCTTTCCATAGTTCTGCAATCTCCAAATAATACTTCATGCCAGACCAAGAAGTGAAGTGCTTACGAGCCCTAGCAACAGAATCCAGTTCCTTGGGAAGCTCCTTTATTATAGGTACATCACCTTGCAGGGTTGCTATGAAATGATCCTCATCAAAAATATCTGAAAAGGTACTGTTGGAGGTCCAAGATGACTAGGGATTGTTACAATCATAGATTATTTAAAGGGTAGGGTTTGTATTGGGTTGCAACCTTAAACAATCAAAGTAAGGCACACCTCCAAATTTTATCATAAGATGTAATTTTGGTGTCAAAATTTCTTAGGATGCCCTAATAATCTATTTTCCTCTCTAATTATAAAATATTAAACTCCAAAAATGGCACAAATCAAGTAGATTTATATACGCATAAAAATCTTGGAAATGGACGGACCAGATAATGTGTTGCAAGATGCACCATTTTTGGGATTCAAAATCTTTTTCTTTTTTTTTTCCGTATTCATATATCTCAATGTCGAGATGATCAATTAGAGGGCTTTTCAACATCATAACAGCGTTTTCGATGGATTTTTGAGGTGCACCTTAATTCTACATTTTAAGTTTGCAACCTTATATAAACCTTTTCCTTATTTAAAAGATGGGAAAGTATGCTATAATCCAATGGACTACATTAATGGTGGTCATCAATATGCAATGAAATGATGGATGGTGAAAGGGACAGAATGAAACCCAGAAGAACAGGACATACATTAATGGTGGGTCGCCCTCTCTCCCCATCAACCTTCATCATTCCATCATATGTCAATGACCCCAAAAATGCTATGGTTTTCTAGAGTCCCACGAAATTTATAGTACGATTCCGCTGAAAAGAACAAGGAAACTCTTTGGATTTCGCAAATAAAACAAGGGGAGAAGCAAACCTTGAGTCTCGCCAAAATGACCGCTTATCTAGCTGAGGAATGACCAGAGTGGCATTCAGAATACGTGCCACGGCAACCATATCACATATCTGCGATGAATATACTTCTTCTAAACTTCAAGGTTTCAAACAAAATCACATTCTTTATCCTGGGAAGGATATTAAACTTTGATGAAAAAGCAGAGGATAAAATGGAGGTAGGTCAAAAAAATGTGCAACTCTAACATTCTTCATTAGGCGCCAGATTTTGGGGAATCACCCTACTTGTTCTATCGACCATCCAAAAAATAAAAGAATAAAAAATAAAAGAAACAAATAAGAAGGAAGATAAGACTTCGCAACCTAGATGTGCCAAAATCCCACCCAAGAGTGAACATGGAAGGTCAGGTCTGGGTCCTAAAGAACTAAATAACAGTTTCATTCATTTTTCTTCTTAATTGTTCATCAGGTGATGATGAGAACATCTACAAATTTGGGCACAAAAATTGTCCTTAAGGCCTAGATCCAAGGCCATTTTAGATGTCTTAAAATGGCCAACCTGTTCAACTGTATTTTCTCTCTCCCCAAATGAAAACATTTGCTAAGAGTTATTTCCAAACTTTCTTCATAAGCAAGTTTCCCAGTTTGAAGAGAGAGCATGCAAAATTTCTTGCAAAAAAAATGCCCCCCAACACCCCAAAACTGAGCTAGGGCAACACAGTAGCAGTCCACCCTAGGCGGGGATCAAATCATTTTCCAATCTTGAAATCTCAACAACATGATTCAAAATGTAGACACCATGCAATCAGAAAACCAGTACATGTCCATAAACCAGGCAATCCTGAAAATTAGAAAAGGATGCTAATTGAAAAACTAACAGAAAACCATGACATCCAAAACCCAGTCTAGGATACAAGGTATATATCACTTGTGTTGTTGCGAAGAGAAAATAAATGGTAGAAATAGTGTCAGCCAATTAGCTGTTATACAAGATACCCATTTGTTCAAGGACCAATATTTAAGATACACTGCTCACGAAGGGCATTCATTTTTCAACCTAATATTGGCCCCATAATCTTCATGCAGCACAAAGGCACTGAAGAATACAAGTCAAGGCATATAATCATGAACCATGATCAACCCTACCCAAAGACTTCTTGTATAGTGTACTTCTGATAGATACATAATTGCCAATCATTAGCTCCCAAAATTTCCAAGATTGTTATTAGATGATATTTGGGTTTATCCTAATGAACCATAGAAAATAGAACTACCAGTGCCCAAACTGCCCCTTAAAATGCATACCATGCACAAAGGGACCTTGAGGCCAACAGATTAAGCTTCTGTTGTATCAAGCCAAAACAAAGAAACGTACTTCTGCCACAAAAGCCTCAGCCTCCCAACAATACTAGTCTTATCATGGTTGAAGCTAAAAAACGACTTTTATTTCCAATAAAATTATTTGAACATATAGGGTAAAGCTAAAGAATGAATGAGAGTTACAGCCATCAGATAAGCCCTTAGTCCTCACTTAAACACACACAAGAACAGATATAAAAAAATAAAAAAAGTTAACAGAGATAAGAGAGGAAATCAGATGGAAACTGCTGTGAAGCATCAAGTGGCCGCAAGAACTCATTTTCACTTGGAAAGAAAGAAATAACAACACTTTGGCTAGTTTAGAGTAAGGTTTAAACAAACGGATCGGTGACTCGAAGGAGTCACACCCATGCCTGTGTCGGATCAGGGAATCGGTGGATGGGATCGGAGAATCGGTGGATCGGATTGGAGAATTGGTGGAGTAGATCGGAGAACAGCGGAATCGGCAACTTTTGTTCCAAAAAGTCCTTAAAAAATCACTATAAATCTCTAAAAATAGTGTTCTTTTAGTTTCTAAAAGAATTTAGGAGTGGTGCATTATGTATTTTTATGACTTTGTAAAAATAGGTAAATACTAAGACGTTTTCCTGTCTGGATATCTATATAGTTATTTAACTATAATATAGTACTATAATATGCACCAAAATAATTTAAAAATACTAGAGAACACTTCCATATTATAAGATTAAAAAAATAATTTCTCATATAAGGTGAAACTAGAATCACATCAAAGTATCAAACATTTTATTAATTTGCTTTACTCATCCAAAATTATCACAATCTAACTAACTATAATATTATCTACTGAAATTGAAATTGTCGGTTTTTATTTTATTATTAAAATAAGAACAAATCTACAATGTCTTATAATATCATCGAATTCAAAATATCTTATTTACACCAATAAGAAAGAATAATACATTACAAAATTTATAATACAAATAAATTAATAAATAAAATACAAGATTTGGTTATCAAGATATAATTATTAATTATAACATTATAATAAAAATAAAAATAACACCCCCTATAACACTTGTATTACATACCATGAAAGCCGTTGTCCCTGCTACTTATTAGAAATCTACTTCCAAGATCCTCAAGAAGTGATAGGTTTGCCTTCCTATAAACAAAATAATAGAGCTCATTCAGAGGTAGGACTCAAACTGCAAACTCGACTCCAAACTTCAACCTCCCTCACTGAGGTAAGGAAAACCTCAAATCAAGTTGAATGAGCTCACATTATACGCATAGATCAAGAATTGACACTTAGATTCCCACACCATCGATAAAAGGAAAGAATTCATAATGTTCCATTTTTTGTAGTGGGTAAGCTCAGAACCTTATTAATGCCAGGAACTTCAACACCGTTTGGTTGTCATGTCCAGAATATTTTTTTCTCTCTCTTGCTATAAAGAAGGATTGCCTCGGTGTTTTTCTTTTTTCTCTTTTTTTTTTTTCCTAGTGTTTTCCTAAGGGTTCACAAGAAAAGTTTTCTCCCAATATTCTTAACCACATCAAAATAATTTATTGGCAAGGTCTTCACTTTAACCTATCAAGTAAAGAAAAGCTATTCACTTCAAATTCAACTAACCAACTTAATGATAAAGATAAGCCAACCGTTCATCTGCAACATGACTGAGGATCAACCAAGGTATGTAGGCCGCAAGATTTGATGCTTGGTTCACCTAATAATGCTTCATATGATGGCTTCATGTATTTCATTTATAATTCATCAATCCATTAGTTAGCACTTCAATATCATAAGTTGGTAAATATACAAGTTTTGTTTTCTGATAGACATGTTGCATATGTACAAGTTAATCAGTTGCATTTAGAAAATATGCAACAAATGATGAGCTTAAATAAGGATATGCCGTATGCAAGTTTCATCAATAATTGATTTGGAATTCCTATTTCACATATGGAAATACTGTAGAAGGGAAAAACATGGAAATACTATTGAAGTAATCAAGAGAAACTATACTCCGTTAGCAGATAATATAATAAAAAGCATGTCAAAGACATTGGAAAGCATAAGAGCTATTCTTTAAAATATCAGATATACTCTCAAATTCCTCCACACCTAGAGGGTCTATAATATACTTGTTTCAAACTAGTACGAGCAAGAAATAACAAAATTAGAACACTCAAAAAAACTGCTACATAATTAAATGTACAACTACCAATAACTAACCCCAGCACGCATTTGATTGAGCCCTCCGTTACTTCTCACAGTTAAATACCGGTTCCAATATTTGGGACCTGATTCATGAAAGGAAGAGACCCCATGTTATTTCATGTCGTAGATAACATTCTTGTGGCTATAATATATGAATGAAGTCAGTAAAACACTAAGCATGCACATGTCATCCATATACACGAAGGAACAAGGATACACTAGAAAATCAGCTAGAAGAATGGACACTAGTATGCAGTAAAAGTAAAATGCTAGCACACAGACCTTCATATCTACTGGTTGGTTTGGTGCAAGGACGGAAACCACGGCTTAACGAAGGCCTCCATAATCTCTCTTCTATCACCTAGATAAAGAAAGACAGAATCTCAAGACCCAAAACAACTCTATTAAGAAATTTTTGCCACATTATATTATTGAGGAACACAACTTGCTAGATATTGTGTATGCACAGAGAGAGAGGAACACAACTTGCTAGATATTGGGCACATTTATGTAAACTGTAAATGGAGAACAAAACCACAGATATTCTAAAGCATTGCGGTCCCTAAAGTACAAACTTCCCCTGCAACCATGGAAACGGAAGATGCCTTTCTTGATATAGGAGAATATTCCGAAATATCTGACTAGGTACCCACAAATATATCTTGTTATCATGTAAAAAAGCAACAATAAAAGAAACAAATGCATCCTGTAATGCGATTCATAACGTCGTGGTGCACACTAGCTGACATTACAAGCACATTCTATGCGTTTGCGTAGCAAATATAAGGGAGAGGGGGGAAATTTTGCTTTGTAACACTTGAAAATCCATCTTTTGTTATTTCATTAATAAAGCAGGCAGAGGCCTGTCATTCCCACTGATTCACCCAAAAAAAAAAACACTTGAAAATCCTAATGAAATGGAATCTTTAGAACCAAAGGATACAATATTCAAGTGTCTAAGAGTATGGGAGATGAATATGTGATTAAATGAGTCAGATTACATAACCACGTAGGGGAATTACACAATAATCTTCCACTTGTCTATTTTTCCTAAATAACATGTCCTAACTGGATACAGGGTGAGAAACCGTGTCAGAAGTTTCACCAATTCAAAGGCTTAATCAATTGAGCAATAGGCAAGTCAACCAAGTCAAACAGATAGGAATAACAAATTGACTTCAAAGGGCCAGTTATTCTGGGTGATTCACAGGTCAACACTGCAAAAAGTGTTAAAAAACTCAGCAATGTCCGATTTAGTTACTTTAAATTCGCAGTCTACCAGTTCCAGATGACTCCTACCCGGGTAAGCCTAGTTTGCCCCTGTCCTCAAAAGAAACAGAGGTCCTGGTCTGAGTCTTGACCGGTGAGACTCTGGACTTGGCAAACTGACTCAGGCCCATCCCTTCCCCATTTGCATTTTTTTAAAAGACTAACTCAAAATGCAAATCATGACAACACTAACCTCAAATGCCCATTGCCATCAATCCTGGAATCTTCTTCACCTACACTACTGTTCTAAAAGCTTAAATTGATGCAGAAATTCTTCAAAGTTCATATTATTAACCATTTTGGAAGCTAGCAAGCTTTTAGAACAAAATTCAGATCAAACTAACATTCAATCAATTAAAGCAAGAGGAAGGCAATTTAACGCAACATGAATACAAGCTACTACCTAGCTGTACTTTGAACTCCAAAGAAAATACACATTTCAGTTACCAAATAATGCGATCAATTAGGTCACCCCAATTCAAAATTGTCAGTTAGACGGCAAGATAAAGCAGGAAAATAAACAACTTTCGATCAGGAATTGTCTACAAATAGGCAACGGAGCCACATTTCACCCAACAAGACAAATTAGTGGCTCCCCATAAATTATATCAATGTGGGTCATTGAAGAGAGAACAAAGTAGTGAAAGAGAGAGACTTTTGTCAACCAGTATAAGCCAGGAGAAACGCTCTTGCCTGGGTATGACAAACAAATAAAATTTTGAAATGCTCTGTGATCCCAATTCAACTATACATTGTTATTACAGTAGTGACCCTGATTCAAATTCTCTATCACTAAGTTCATCTGACATAGGTTATAGAAAGGGGGGAAGGAGGGAGGAAGAGTGAGAGTGAGTGAGAGAGATATCACTCAATCATTTTCTTTGAAATTGGCAAGAAAACCAAATAGAAATAATGACTCAAACTGACAAAAGAGCCAAGTAGAGAAAATCACACAAGACCCATAGAGAGAGAGAGATTATTCATTCAATCTTCCATTTTCACTGAAACTGACAAGAGACCCAAGTAGAGAAAATCACACAAAACCCATCGAGAAAGATTATTCATTCATTTTCTCTGAACTTTTGCTTCTCGATAGCTCAGCCTTGTGAATCCAACTGGGTCATAATGTTGCAATAATCAACAACTAACCAATCAAGCCCAAACCCAAGCCCAATTAGACAATAGATCCAAGTCGAAATAGATCCAACTCGGAAAAAACCAAGAGTGACAGCACTTAGCACAAACAATGAAACAAACCCAAGCGAAGACGCTAAGTAGAAACCCAGTTGAATAGATGAAATACCTGTTGAGTTTCCTCCATGAACAAGGTTTCTTCTCTCTCTAAATCATCTGGGAAGTTCCTATGCAGAGGGTAAAAGAGAAAGAAGATAAAGAGAAGGGAAACGTAGAGAGTAAGGGCAAAGCAGCCGGTGAGAGAGAAAGGCCTTGAAACCAACTTAGACAAACAACAAAAGATTGATGGGGTTGCAGAGGATCTGAAAAGAGGTCCCCTAGGAACCATCTCTCTCTGAACCTTTTTTTGACAAAATTTTTGATGATTTATTCTCTCTCTGAACCTTCTAGTGACTGAAATGAATACTAAACCTTCTAGAGAGATAGACGAATAATGTTTAGCCAGCAGCTAAATCCTTAAATGTTCCCTCTCTTCTCAACAAGCGTTCAACTCTCACTGTGGGAGTGTTTCGTCTCATCTCTCTCTAAACTCTCTCTCTCTCTCTCTCTAAAACCGGGACAACGTTTCGGACTGCCCACTAACGGACGCGTTGGATAGGCGGTTCTCATAAGGAATTTAAAGAAGTTTATATAAGGTGGTTGGTTTATACCGGTGGTTTAAAAAAATGGATCAATGACCCAAATCGGGCATACCAAAAATTGATTCGGATCGAAAATCAAGCCAAATCGATGGCATTGAGCCTTAAAAAATTTTAAAAAATTATTAAAATTCATTATAAATGTTGTATTTTAAAAATTTAATAAGAAATGATGGTACTACATTATTAACTTTCATTGCTTTCATCAATTTATGAATATTGAATGTTATTTCCCTGTATGAATTTATGTTGACCATTAAATTTATATTATAAAAAGAAAATCATAGAATTATCGTGGATTAAGTATATAATCATATATGGATTACAAAAAAGAGTTGAATAAATCGATGAAAAATTGGCTACTAAAATCACGAATTGGCGGAAAATCCTAATCCGCTAAAAAAACCCAAATTATTACAACTTAACTAACTATAATATTATATACCAATAATATTTTATAATTATTTTATTATATAAATAACAAAAAATCCAAAATACTTTATAATATCATCTAATTTAAAATGTATTATTGACAACTGTAAGAAAAATAGTACACTATATGATTTATAATACAAAAATTAATAAATAAAATAAAAGATTTGGTTATCAATGTAGACATTATTAAAATGCGTACTAATTTTCTTTAATTTTTTAGGTTTTTAGAATAAATTAGTGAAAGAGATTGTTAGTAGAAAGAGAGAGATTTCAAATGGTCTCATTGTATGAATCCTATCTTTAAATTAATATTACTAAATTTATGCTAAAGACTATCATGTTATAAAAATAAAAAATATAATTAGACGATTTATTCCTAGGTTGTATGAAGAAATACCTTTTATTTTTTTTACAATAAATACTTATTGTGTTATCTTTTATTTATTTTTACAATAAAAATATGATACTTGTTTATTATCTTTATTTTTATTTTTTGAGAAAAGAATAAGATGTTGTACTATATATTTTTTTTTTTTGTTATTTACTTTTTTATTTTTTTTTACTTAAGAAAAATAAAAAGATGATGCTGCCAAAGTAC